CTCAAGACCACAAGTCCAGAGGGTTGTTTTACAATTCCTTGCGTCCCCCAGGACCTTGACACGGACATGGCTCCAGTTGCTAGGCATAGTTTGGTGTGCGCGTCTGAGGATGCGACCTATTCAGCAGGCGTTAGCGCAGGTGTGCTCTCACTTGGAGAGTTACGAGAGGCTTCTGGTAACTCCGGAGTGGCTAATTCCTCACTTATGGAGACTCCAGTGCCGACACTCACAATTCAGACGGATGCCTCCCTCACAGGCTGGGGCGGTGTTCTGGGAGACCTCACAGCTTCCAGCCTTTGGTTCGAGAACGAGGTGACCCTGCACATCAATGTGTTAGAATTGAGAGCAGTCCCGGTTGGTATTCGAGAAGGTTCTGAGCTGAGTGGTTCGTCTAGAGATGGACAACCAGACAGCGATGACTTATATCCTGAAGCAAGGCGGTACGGTTTCCCCATCGCTCCTTCAGGATGCGTGTCAGTTTCTGCTTTGGTGCGATCAGTTCGACATACGGATGATGCCTGTTTATCTCCCGGGGGTAGACAACGTCCATGCAGACACGCTCTCACAGCCATATGAATGGATGCTCGACTGGGGGATATTCGGGATTATCTCCCAGTTGTACGGATCGTTCCAGGTGGATCTGTCTGCCTCTGGGGTGACGATTCAGACACCAGACATTTTTTTGCTCCCCCTATCCAAGATACGAGGGCAATCCCCTCCGATGCCTTCCAGCTCTATTGGACAGACACCCAAATCCCAGGATTCAGTGGGTAGCTTGGCCACTCCGGAATCACCTCCAAGTGAGCAGAATTCCTGTACCAGTTGCAGACACAATTCTGGCTTTGCGGAGGGATTTGACAAACATTCAGTATGACGATAAATACTGTTATGCGCATTGTTAATCCCTTTTCTGCAGATATAGTCACTGTGTTTGGAGTTTTTACAATCTCAATTGGAAGCCGGTCTCGCCGCTTCTACAATCAGGGAGTACTCCACGGCTATTTCTGCTTTTCACATACCGGTACCTGCCAATTGTGTACTTATGGGACAACACCCTCTTATGCAGCGCTTCTTAGAGGGCGTGGACAGAATCTGTCTGACTGTCCGGCAGATCAGTTCCCCCTGGTACTTGTCAATCGTTCTTGATTGGATCTCCGGTCCTCTCTGTTTCAATCTGTCGGCTCTCTCCCTCCAGCTGTTAAGTTTCTTGTGGCGGTGACGTCTGGCATACGGGTCGGTGACATTCATGCAATGTCATCGGATCCTGAGCTTACCGTTTTTCACACAGATCGGGTCTGCATTCGCTTGCCAAATTCTTACCATCCTAAGATCGCAGGCTCCTTTCATGTAGCGGCGCCTATCAAGTTACCAGCTTTCATTCAGCCTCCATCATCTGGTACCTCTCTTCGACGTGCTCATGTTTTAGATGACGCTTAAGGCTTATATCAGAAGGACAGCGTCTATCCGCAAGCTGTTCTGCTGTTATGGTGGTGGTAAGGCTGGCCTTTCGCCGAACAAGCAGACCATATCTAGGTGACTTGTCTCTGCCATTTGTATGGGTTACATTAACAAGGGCTTAACTCCCCCAGATGGGTTGAATGCTCATTCGGTTAGAGTGAGTGAGTGAGTTTAGTTTTATGCCGCACTCAGCAATATTCCAGCCATATGGCGGCATTCTGTAAGTAATTGAGTCTGGACCAGACAATCCAGTGATCAACAGCATGAGCATCTATCCGCGCAACTGGGAACCGATGACATGTGTCAACCAAGTCAGCGAGCCTGACCACCCAATCCCGTTAGGTCGCCTCTTACAACAAGCATGGGGTACTGAAGGCACATTCTAACCCAGACCTTCACGGGTCTCATCGGTTAGAGCAGGGGCCACCTCCAAGGCATATGCTGCTGCTCTGCCCATTGAGGAGATCTGCTCTGCAGCTATTTGGAGCCGACCATGTACATTCATTCATACCCCAAGGAGGACTTCTTCTGAAAAAGAAGAGAGGTATCCTGTAGAGGATATTGAGTTAATTTTGTTAAGAAAGTTCTCCTTGGGATACGGCCACCCATGAAAAGTGAGGTATGAGGTAGATGGCTAGAGTTACCTGCTCTTGGCTGTAGAGGGCCCTGAGGTGCCCTGTAGAGGTGGTCTCACAAGACAAAAACGTGTTTTTTGTTTTGTAAATATTTTTATTAAAATATAAGTACAACTGTCGTACTGACATCTTAGTGCTACTAGACATCTCAGCAGCATTAGATACTGTAGATCATAATGTGCTTCTTAATGTGCTGGATAACCGGATCGGTGTCCAGGGTTCAGCTTTGGAATGGATCCGAACGTAAGCATCGGTGGTGTAATTTCAAAGAAGACAGATCTGCTTTATGGTGTTTCACAGGACCGATCCTGTTCACTATATACACGCTACCAACTGGTGATCGCCAGAGCACACAACCTCGATTTTCACTTCTACGTGGATGACAGACAGATCTATCTGGCTTTCAAACCACTAACAGTGACAATCTCTTATCAGCGAATCCAACACTGTATAGACGACATCAAGCACTGGATGACATTAAACTTTCTAAAACTGAACGATGATAAAACAAAGTTGTTGGTCATCTGCCCTAAGCAAACCATGACAAGGATCCATCTGCCACATTTCCAAATTGGCGAACACACAATACCCAGAAGTCCACATGCCAGGAATCTGGGGGTTATCTTTCACTCGTCACTCAGTCTGGAGACCCACATCAACTCTGTTTGCAAGAGGTTGCCACATTAGAAACATTGGTCTGATAAGGAGGTACCTTTATGTGGATACCACACATCACAAGCCTATGTTACATCCAGGATAGACTATTGTAACTTGCTGCTATATGGCCTTCCAGAACAACTTATGAATAGGCTCCAAAAAGCACAAAATACAGCTGCAAGAATCATCACTAGAACAGCGAAGTGGGATCACATCAGACCAGTACTTCAAGACCTTCATTGGCTTTCTGTCCACCACAGAATCCAATACAAGATCTTCTGAAGGGTCTTGTCCAGCATGATAGAAACCTATCAACCAGTTATGATCAGCTGAACAGAATCTACTTGCTGTGCCACGGACTAGGACAAAGATGTTTGGAGATAGATCTTTTGGTAAAGCAGGTCCAGTTCTCTGGAACAGATTACCTCTTCATCGAAGATCAGAACAGCTATCCACTTTCAAGGCCCAGCTAAAGACTCACTTACACAGAGAAGCATTCAATCTGTAACTGTTACTTAAAGTGTTTTCCTGGAACTGATGTGCTTTTGAGCAGCTTCTGCTGGATTCTAGCGCTCAATAAATGTATATATATATATATATATGTATGTATTTATGTATACATAACGTAGTAGGTTTTAAAATGGACATTTTAATGCTTATATGTACCCCAAGGAGGAGTTTCTTCAAAGAATCAATAACCTCTACAGGTTTGTACAAATTTATTGAGTATTTGCAGTTGATAACATTGCATTTTGTACATGGTTCAACAGCAATTTTCACCTTTCCACTATTGAAAAAGCATGAAATACTCATTTTACCAAACTAGTTTGGTCATAATAGAATTATTCTCTCTCCATTGAAAATACACAGTAACTAAATCTTTAAGCAAAACCTAGTGCATTAAAATATATTGTAACAGATTTCCTTTCATTCTGTCAACAACACTGAAAAATCTGTAAGTCAAGATGGATATTTGATCAAACATAACATTTACAATCCCTCATTGTGCAATCTTGTCAGCAGGATTATCAAACGCTGATAGTTTTGATTTACAATAATAACCCATAGAGTTAAAAGATCTTATAATGGAACTGGACCCTTACAGGAGCATAAGAGATCATTGATAATGTGTTATTCACAATACGGATAGAAAAATCAGGAAATTGAAACAAAATACAATATATTCAATACTAGGTAATCCTGTTTGCAATAGACAGTAAGACTTATTTTATCTATCCACAAATCACTTCAGCCAAAACATATTGGTATGATACTGTATGTTAACTCATGCAGAAACAGAACATTTCAAATTTACCTCAGTACCAAAGGCCTTCCCTTCTTTGCAAACTCCATCAAAGAGTGTTCTGTGTTGTCGAGAGCAACAACCTTAACATCCTTTGCTACATTTCCAATAGCAACGTTGTCATAGATACGGATATACAGGGTCTTCAACATGGTCTCTGCTGCCTTGATTCCATACATGGCTCGAATAAACTCCTCAGGGTCAGCTTGGCTGCTGTTTTCTCTTCTGGCCTTTATTTTAGCCACTACAAACTGACGAAGTGGTGGTACCATGATAAGCACTAACAGAACCATCTGGGTGGCGGCAATCCCCAAAAATGCCAGCACACATAACACTGGACGCGGGACATACTCTTTCAGTTCAAGTACAGAAGTAGGCCTGATCATTGCAAACACTGAAAGCAAATATTTACAGTAACATGAGTTGAATATTGCTTCTAAAAAAGAAAGAGAAAAAGACAATTTCATTTCGCAACCTTCGGCAAGATACTCAAGTGTTATCTCCCCGCCACCAGGTGGCGCAAACCAGCTTTTTCAAAGTCCCGCGAAAATTCGCCTTTCTCCATTACCAGCTTTCAGCTAGCAGTCGACTCGTGAAGGTTACAGTTGCATTTTGCTTTTTAGCTGGAGGTGAGTACTTTTCTTGCATAATTGGTTTAATTGTATTGTTTCTACAAACATAAGACATTATAAAACATGTCTAGTTCGCAGTTGCCGTGTCAAAATAAGGAAAATAACGATGAGCAACACGTTGTCAATGTACTGGCAGGTAATACTGACCCGAGTATGAAACTGTTGGTTTCGGCCACGGTAGATTCTGACTCTGAGTGTCGGGTCGATCAAAACGAATCTGACTCAGACGACGATGCTGTCTCGAAACGTTCGTTTTTTAGCGATACAAGAGCCAGAAGGGGTGACAGCATGTGGTCTGTGCAGGGTACCTCGAATATGGGGGACACCCTGACAGAACCTAGACGTTTTGACCCTCATGGGGCATCTAATGTCCCTCGCTGTAGGCTCCCTAAGGGACAAGTGGACTACATAACCAGGCATTTCACCACTTTCATAGATGACAAGACTATGGAGGGTGTGTTAGAGGAATGTCCTATACCGGAGGGTAAGGTTTTTGAAGTCCCTCATATGGATGGCATTATCGAATCCCTTATGGAACAATATGGGATAAGTAATGAGAAGGGAGCTGACAAGGGTCTAAGATCCATTCAGTCCAGGCTCATGAGAGTTATGGGTCCTTTAGGGGCTTTATATGCTCTACTTGAACAGGCCCGTAATGATCAGTGTACTGAGTTAGACTTCGAGTGTGTGATTGAGCTAGTTGAGAAAACGATATGTTGCACAGGCCAAGTTAATGTAGCCTTGAACTACAATTGGAGGCTAGCTACATTGTGCAAACTTACAAAGGATCTCAAAAAGAGTAAATCCTTGATGAGAAAACATGCCAACGTCTTCAGTGACACCGAGGCCCAATTGTTTGGGGACGGTTTTCTGCAAGTCTTGAAAGACATGGGAAAAAATCGTAGGGAGGCTAGAGAAGTGGCTGATGCACTTCAGCCCCCTAAAAAGAAACTGAAATTTGTGCATAAGCCAACAGCACAACCTAACCCTCCACAGTCTGCTAGTTTTTCCAGACTCATGTTCAAGCAGCTCTTTCGGCCCGTGCCCTCGGGAGGCAGACAGGTTTCCGGGGGCGGATATACCGGTGGACTTGTCAGCAGGGGAGGTTTGTCCCAGTACAAGAGAGGCAAAAGGTATGTATCAGCAAGTTCCTTACCCCACAAAAAATCAGTTAGAACACCTGTTCTTAGATTTAGATACCCTGCACAAAAACGGAAATGTGGTGGCCCCAGTGCTAGGTTTGAATTTGACCAAGCTGGCTCCAAACGTTCCTTTGGCAGGGAGAATTCATTTCTTTCTAGAAAATTGGGAGAAGATAACTTGCGACCAGTCAGTTCTTACACTTGTGCAGGGAGCAAAGTTGAATTCGGTCTCCACTCCCTTTCAGAAATCCCCATCAAACACTCCATCCCTCTCAATAAAGGAAAGGAATCTAATAGACCAGGAGATACAAGAACTCCTTCGGAAGGGGGCCATATCACAGGTGGAAGGCAAACCGCCTCAGTTTCTAAGCCACCTTTTCCTGGTCCCAAAGAAGGGTGCAGGCTTTCGTCCTGTAATAAACCTAAAAAGGTTAAACCGTCATCTGAAATACCAACATTTCAAGATGGAGGGTTTGTTCATGGTTCCAGATCTTCTCAGAAGAGGCGACTTCATGTGCAAAGTAGATCTAAAAGACGCATACTTTGCTGTTCCAATGGACGAAAAAGACAAAAGGTACCTCCGGTTCAAATGGAATGGTATGATTTTTCAATTCAATTGCCTTCCTTTCGGTCTGGCCTCTGCGCCGCGCCATTTCACAAAGCTGCTGAGACCGGAGGTAGCGTTTCTCAGACGCCTGGGAATGAGAACGATTATTTATCTCGACGATGTGTGGCTGGTGAGCACCAGTCGTCAGGGTCTTCTCAAGTGTCGGGATTCCCTTCTTTTCCTCCTCCAATCCCTCGGTTTCACAATAAACTGGGAGAAATCTCAGTTAGTGCCGACAAGAAGGATAGAATTCCTGGGGTTTTGTATTGACTCCATAGAAATAATGTTCTACCTACCGGAGGGGAAGGTGGATCAGATAAAGAATCAGTGAAGGGAGGTACTACAATCTCACACAGTAACAGTGCGTCAGGTGTCTCAGCTGGTGGGAAAACTGCTATCATCTGTTCAGGCCATTCTCCCTGCAATTTTGCAGTGCAGATACCTCCAAATGATACAAATACGAACGTTGATTCAGGGGAAGTCTTTCCAAAACTCCATTGACTCTGGATCACGAGGCGAGAGAGGAAGTCGCATGGTGGATCAGTCAGATGGAACAGTTCAATGGCAGAGCCATTATCTCCCCCACACCGGATCTGACAGTGGACTCGGACGCCTCCAACAAGGGCTGGGGGGCAGTATGTCAGGGTCAGACAACTCAGGGTGTGTGGAGTTCCACAGAGCTATCATATCATATCAATGTGAATGAGCTCCTTGCAGCTCTACTAGCTCTAAAATCATTCACAAAGAACAAGAAAGAAATGTGTGTTCACATGAGGCTGGACAACCAAACGGCAGTTGCACACATAGTCAGGGGAGGGGGGACGAAATCCCGTTTGTTAAACGGCCTCTCCAAGGAGATATGGGAATGGTGTGCTGCAAGATCAATAAACCTGACAGCAGAACATCTGCCGGGAATTCTGAATTCTGTAGCAGACTGGCAATCTCGGAATTACCAAGACAGCAGCGATTGGATGTTGAACAGAGTCATGTTCAAGCAGATTCTGTCGCTCTTTGGACCATTATCAGTGGCCCTGTTTGCGTCCAGGCTGAACAAACAGCTGAGCCAGTATGTCAGTTGGAAACCAGACCTATATGCCTTGGCGACGGACGTTTTCCTCCAGAACAGAACTGGAAACAATATCAGAACACTCCATATGCGTTCCCTCCGTTCATTTTGGTGGGGAGATGTCTGGCCAAAGTAAGGAAGGAGGGTGGGACACTAGTGGTAGTAACACCCCTGTGGCAGGCTCAGGTCTGGTACCCTCTCTTGCTGGAGATGGCAGTGGTGAACCCAATCAGGCTACCACTAACTCGGGATCTCTTAACCTCGCCTTTGGGTCAGGTCCACCCGTTAGTGGAGCTGAAGACACTGCATCTAGCAGTTTGGAAGGTTTCAGGGAATCCCACTCAACAGCTGGCATATCAGAGAGGTCTGCAGACCTTCATGCTAGAGCATGGCGGTCAGGAACAAGGGCAGCTTACAAAAGCGCCTGGGGACAGTGGGTTTGCTGGTGTCACGAACGGGAAATTGATCCCGTTCAGTCACCTATTTCCGCTGTTATAGATTATCTGACTTTCCTTTACGATAAGGGATTAAAGTACCCGACAATTAATGCTCATCGGTCAGCAATCTCCAAGAATCATGCTCCCCTAGGGGCTGTTCAGGTGGATCAGTTGCCTGTAGTCTGCGAGCACATGCGGGCAATCTTTAATGAAAGGATACCAAGCCCTAGATATACTAAAACTTGGGATGTTGAGAAGGTTTTGGGTGCCATCAAGGGTTGGGGGGATAATGCGAATCTCTCCGATAAGCTTCTCACAGGAAAACTGGCTATGCTGTTAGCGTTAACCTCCGCTGGAAGGGCGTCAGAGCTTCAGCAGTTAGACACAAGATATATGTGTATCAAAGATGATAGGGTAACCTTTCATTTGACAAAAAGAACAAAAACTTGTAGGCCAGGGAAAACACATATGGTGTTAGAATTTTTTAGGTTTGAGGAGGACAGGTCCTCGTGTGTAGTTGAATGTATTGAAGGATATTTGTCAAGGAGTAGATTATGGCAGCAGACCTCGGACGAAGTCTTGCGTCATAATCTGCTCCTGAGTTATGTGAAGCCCCATGGGCATGTGAAAACTTGCACCATAAGCAGATGGCTGAAAGATGTCATGAAGGAGTCTGGGTTGGCGGCGGAGTTCACAGCGCACTCTACCAGGGCCGCCTCCACCTCTAAGGCAATGGGTCAAGGTATCTCGGTTGATGATATCCAGAAAACAGGCAAATTGGTCAAAGCAATCAACTTTTAGAAAGTTTTATTGTAGGACTCCAGAGGTCAACACTTTCCAGCAGGCAGTTTTGACCAGGTAAGCTTTAAACTAACACTTGAGTGTCTTGCCGAAGGTTGTGAAATGAAATTGTAGATTTCATCAGCTCACGTAGTGAGGGCCATGAAATCATAATTTTATGAGTAACCGAAGACAAGATATGAAAGTGTTCCCACCCACCTATCCCGTTTGCTTGCCTTCGGTACTAAAATATTTCACCTTTGTTGCAGGTAGGACCTAGCCAAAGATGGAGTCCTGTGCTCTGACGATCTCCATTGTGTCGGACAGCCTGACAGTGTGGAGCCCTTTGTGGCTTGATAGTGATTTTTAATACTCTAATTCAATTCCGTCCAGATGCCATGTATGCATTGTTTTGCTATTGTTGAGCATTAAAATTATTGTTGATGAGCTTGGACCCTGTTTTGCTTCTCGCTGTTCTCCTGCTAGCTGAAAGCTGGTAATGGAGAATGGCAAATTTTCGTGGGAATTTGAAAAAGCTGGTTTGCAGCCACCTGGTGGCGGGGAGATAACACTTTCATATCTTGCCTTCGGTTACTCATAAAATTATGATTTCACGGCGTTCCCCACTATTGAGCTGATGAAATCTACAATTTTAGGACAACTTTTCCAGGTACAACCCTGGGATGTAGCTGACCTGACTGCTAAATAGCTGATATTTCATCCCAATTATGCCAGTATGAATTCCCAAATTGGAAAATGTTACCATATTGCAATCGATACAAGAATAAAACGTCTCTGAACAAATGAAAATACAAACTTTAAAAATTCAAATTTGTCTGTCGATGACACTTCATTTGAATCTTAAGATGAATTCCTGCCCAATCAAATATATTCATAATTTCTGAGCCTCACATAGAGTGACTTGGCCTGAACATCAAATAATGTATTTTAAGCGGTATTCCCTCCTTTATTGATGTACTTTTACCCATGACGATGGAGGTATTTTATCCCAGTCCTTTCTTACTTTGTCCAAACATTTGTTTAACCAATGTAGATTATTCGGATAAACATACAGAAGCCTTTTAGGTCAATCTGCTTAATTTCACAACACTAAGTTGAAATTTCAACATAATGTTTTCAAAATTCAATATACATGTAATAAGTTGAAACTTGAAATCTCAAGATGTTAAGTCACAATTAAAATAGTGCACTTGTTTTGTTGAAAGATATTTCAACTAATTCACTCGGTTTGACCCAAATTGCACATCAAGATATACTGCCTGCCGAACAGTTAATCCCGCATAACAGTTATCGCCAATACATCAGTATCACGCGTGCACAGCTCCGGTCAATACAATTCCAGTATTTTTTCCAACGGTATTTGACATCAATTAAGGACAGTAAAAGAAAATTCTTCATGATAAGAAACATAAAGAGAAAAATTAAAGATAAAGTTATGAACCCTATAAAAAAATTTAACTTTGTCAAGGGATGTCACATGATCTATATGATAGAAATTTCAAGTTCACAAGTCATTAATTGTTTCATTCCCTATCTATCTACAGTAAAAAACACTCAATTAGTCACATAACCAATTATTCGAAGGTTACTTTATGATATAAATATATATTATTTCATGCATGACATGAGAAATTCGGAAATGGCAAAAACTGTTACAGTTAGTTGTGAGAAAACACTTCTTTGTACTACCATGATTCCCTTCCGTCACGTTATATAGAAACACAATCAGCGTCAGTAAATGGGCTGGACACATCGGTGAAGAGCTAATTAAGTATCATAATTAATTCTGTTTCATTAATTAAAGAATGGCAGAGTAATTTTGTAAATATCACTAAAATATGGCAATTATTAACTGTTCGGTAGTCAGTATAGTTAAGAAAGAAAAAAATACTTCTTTGATTGGCATTAAAAAAATAAATAAATGTCACTAAAAGGCCTCCATAGTCAAATATATACATGTATGCTTAGCTCTGGCCCATACCGGATAGAATGCAGTTTACCGGGCACAGCCCTCGCTGCTCGCTGCAGGGCAATTAACGCGTTATCATGGTTATAGCGCTACCACGCTGTTTCGCAGTAATTGCTCCGTCTCCCTTCACTTGCATCTATAGAGTTAAGCAACCCTGTACGATCCTTAGGGTTAGGGTATGGCACCCTTTACGATCCTTAGGGTTAGGGTTAGGGTGTTATAGTGACTAATTCAGGACAGCCATCGTCCAAATATTTAAAAAGTAAAAACTATGTACTCAAGACATGTGAGACTTTATTGTAATTATTTATATGATGCTAATCTGTATTCTATGCAATCCTTATCACTACTGCATTGTACATTGACACCTGTCCATTGTTGTAAAAAACTGTATATATATATATATGCTCACATCTACATGTGTATTGAAAAACGAGTACGAGTCCGGTATTCCGACTGTCTGTGTTGGGACGACCACGAGCAGGATAATGTCGCTCGTAGGAAACGCCCTGGGGTTGAGCAGGTACTCCGTTCATCTCATTTATGTCTTGTGTATTTGCTTGTCATGTAACTAAGGAAGTAGGGCAGTATAATCCTATTATATACAATTGAAACACATTTCGATCCATCCGGTACTCGTCAGTACAGTCCAAGAAATAATGGCGCGGAAAAAATGAATGGGAAGGGCGTGGCACAGTGGGAAGCGCGTTCGAGCCCCAGCAGCGCTAATTAATCTGAAAAAGTGCGCCCGGTAAAGTGCAGTACACAACCCCACCCCCACCCCACCCCAAATACCGATTCACACTCTTATACAGCATATATACAGTAAAGATATACAATACCGTTTGCGTCAGATGAAATCGGAGATGTTGAACTGAGGCGTCTGAACCTGATCGTCTAACCAAAGACCATATATTATATGGTCTCTGGTCTAACCGATCGTTACCTGTTGTAAATGGGTCATGACACCCGATGAGCGTAGTACAAAACTCGTGCCTATGTAGACCCGCCAAATGTAAAGTACTGATCAGACAATATCGATTGTGATTGTGTCAAATGCTGACAACACAAGAACGACGTTTGTATAGTCTACATAAAACTGTCCAAGGACAACTTGGAGACTCTTTGGTGTTGTGAGACCAAGATGGTAGCATATTTTCCCTACAGCGTCTATAGGGACTCGCTAATACAGACTTTCTCAAGAAAACATACAAGCTGTGCTGCGAGTTTTGGGTATACATTTCAAAGTTCTCCGCAAATATTGTGGGTATTTTAAGTGAGAAACGAATGTGTTGACTATCCGAATACATTGTATGCAAATACGAAATAACGTTTGAACATGTGACCTTCTACTTTACAGGTAAGATAGCATAGAAACGGTTGCGTGTTGTTTTGTTTATCGTCACTGAACTTGAAGACAAGTGATAAATAACGTATTTAGATCGAAGTGTCTTATTCTTAGCCAGGTGGATGGATGTCGATTGACATTGTGTTCATGCCATCAGAATATTTTGTTAAGAATATTACACATTACCGGGCACCCGATTCGGATTTTCTTCCTCAACGTTCGTTTCTTGTATCCACCAAAGGAGTTAGTTGACCCAAGCAAGACCTCAAAACTACCCTGATTTGGGTTTTCATCAGCAAATGTTGCCTAACTCTAAGGATCTTGAAGACGTGTTTGATTCGAAAGGGGTACACCAAATGTCATAAAAAGAGTGCTAGATGGAAAGGGGTTCCAAGGGATATGGATAGAATAGTGTGTAACCACCCATACAACTGACCCTAAGGATGAGAGATCTGGGAAGTGAGAGCCAGAGTCAGTAGCCTGAGCGAAAGGGCACTACAGTAAGCTGTGCCCATGTAAAATGCACTGTTGGTGTTCTTATTATTTTGTGTCATATTCACTGTCATCAGTGCATTCTGTCTGCATCCTGTTTGCTATGTCAAAATGGAATGCTTCTTTGAAATTCAGTGTAATATTAATGGTTGTAAAGACATTCACTTCAGAATAATGAAGAAAAGCATGTCATTTTCCTGATTTTTTGTTGTAAATAACAAATTAGTGGTTACATAATTCTAGATACTTACTGTATATCCCAGTTCCACCAGTTTTTGGGGCGGTGGGGTAGCCTAATGGTTAAAGCGTTGGCTCGTCACGCCGAAGACCCGGGTTCGAATCCCCACATGGGCACAATGCGTGAAGCCCATTTCTGGTGTCCCCGCCACGATGTTGCTGGAATATTGCTAAAAGCGGCGTAAAACCAAACTCAGTCAGTCCACCAGTTTTTGTTGAAGTAAGACTATGCAGGGTACATTTATGAACATTCTAATAAAATAATTTCATTTTTCGTTCATTACATCAAACTCACATTTCGCCAAATGCACTCTTCAAGTTAACTTGTTGCTTGCCACCATTGCTGCTGTGCCTTATGTCACTTTTTATCAGCAATGACATTTTACACAGAGAAGGTGTTAAATGTGTTTGTTGAAAATATAATGGAAGTTTATGTAGTTCCAACAATTACTGAATAATTCCAACAGGAAATCATTAGGACACCAATGGGATGTTACTCTTCTGTACTTTGACCAGAGTGGATTCAAAAACATTGTGCATGAGCAAAGAAATTCATGGTAGTCTGCCACCTTGGAGAGTATGAAACTGGGCTGAGGACAAGTCACGTAATGGTTGTCCACACTGACTAGTAGTGTTAAGGGCTAACAATCTGAACCATTTCTCAATACTTCAAGTTTACTATATACTGGAACTGTATATAACTGATAGAAATTATATAACTATTGTAAACAAATATTTCTTGCTCAAGTGGGACTAGCCACAGCCCTGATTATTATACTATTTCTCTGAACCAGTCATAAGAAAAGCAAAATTCTTTGCTTAAAATATATTCACATTTGTCTTGCTGGACCAGCATTGAACCTGGATGTGATGCCTTTAGACTTATTTGTGTAAAGTTTGCTGGGATGGAGAACGAAACTGACGTCGTGCCAGAGAGAGAGACCTACAGTCCAGGGGATGTTGTCTGGGCCAAGATACCTAACTGTCCATGGTGGCCAGCAGAGGTGAGTTCTTACCCTGGTGGTGACAATCGTACAATATTGACAAACTCTTTAGATAGCTACTTCTTGTTTTTCATGAGTGTGACATTTCGATTCAGATCCTTTGTCTTGAGGAATCCTGCATCACAACGGTACAAGAATCCGCATTAAAACTCATGCTCCTGAAATATAAGAAACTGTTATCCTGAAATATTTCATTGTAGTAATTTGACATTATCAGGCAGCCTACAGATGACTGTGTTGGTTGTAAATGTGCTGCCCAATTTGTAAATTGTTTTAAGATGACAGTTCCTATCTGCACTAGGTTATCAGTTCCCTACCAAGACTATGTTTGGATACCTTGAATTAGTTTAAAATGGTTCATTCATCATGTTCATATTTCTCTGCAATGTTGAAAGATGGCAATTCTGGAATGTTTTCCTCTTTCAGGTGATTGAAGAAGATGACTGCCCTTTCCCTCTTCCAGAATTTCGGAAAAAGAAAACTGTGGTAGCAGTCATCAAGTTCCTTGATGAAGATTGCTAGTATGTAGACATGGTGGATTGTGTTGTGTATTTTCTCACTCTGGTACTTTTGTTTTATCATATATTCTGAGATGCCATTGCCAATCCATATCAAGAAAGTTTTAAATTTATCCTGTCTCACTTTCTCTTTTGACAATGGAGTGGAAATGACCTAACCCCTGAAAAAGCTTTCGGGAAAGCTGTACATGATTTTCAGCATGATTTTCATTGCCTAGTACCTCGATCATGAACCATACTTCAGGATGGTTGGTTTCGTAGTGCGGCTCCCGATGATTCTCGAGCCATACCTCATCATGGTTTCTGCTGATCACTGATCCAGGTGACTCCTATTGTCCCTCCATCAGTACTTTCAGTGGAGGCTGCTGGAGTCAGATGTTAGTCCCGGAGTCTCTTTTCATACCAGCACATTGTCCGTTAGTCAATCTTCATGGTTGGGGAGCACATCTTATTAATCAGTGAGTGGCAAGCCTGTTGTCTTTTGCCAATCATCCACTGCACATAAATGATCAGAATTTCAAGGCAATGATCCTAGCCTAGCCTACAATCATTGAACCTCACAGTGCCATCAAACAACTCGACAGTGGGGTGCTACATCAAGCAAAGTTTACCTTCACTGAACCAATCCATGTATTTGTGTTACATGTTTGTAGGAGCTTAAATCATTTTCATGTCGAAATTCAGGCTCTATATAATTTTCTTAGTAAGGTTCCTTCATGGGAATTCCTGTATTGTGCTATGTGCCTGCATTTTCCCAAACTGAATTATTGCATTAAACCACAGTTGTATATTTCTAGGATAGCAATGGAACTGGACTAAGTAGTACTACTTTTGGCAACATTAGAATCAAAGATGAAAATAATTAGACATTGATGAGGTTTGCTGTCACTTGATTTAGAAAAGTCAAAATGGTTCTTAAAATAAGTTCATGCTGAAATTGTTTCTAGGGTATAGAAAAAAGGAGAGTATGGCACTACTTTTGAATGTGCGTGTAGCACAAAACCCAGTCTATTTTATGAAGTGTGCTGAGCTTCTGTACCTCAGGATGAAGTCAATGCCAGAACTGTTTGTGTTAAACATTATTGGCAGATTTAGATGGAGATAGATAGTTTCTAGCTTGTTATTGTAAGTCAGAATCAGGCAAAGTTGTTGACTGATCAAGTCAGGAATATTCAGATGATATTCTGTTTTTGATATAGATCAGTGATTGTATATTTCAGTTACTGCATCAATTCCTTGGACAAGATCAAACCCTTGCTGTACCCTGGCTATGAGGAATGTATACTTAAAGGTAAATACTCACATTGTAATTACCCTTTCAAAATCTTAACTGGTGAAGATGGGTATAGGATGCAAGTAATGCAGTGATTACTTTGATTTAAGTGAAAGGCAGTATTTATGGAATGGATGACAGAGCACTCCATGCCGAATGTAGATTTGTTGGCTGTTACAGATAGTGATGTTAGGCAATGTAGGTTTGTAAGTTTGTAAGATTATTATTTTTCCTTATCCTGACTCATGCTATATTGCTTATCTCCCTTCTCCTTTCGATGGGGCAGTGGGGTAGCCTAGTGGTTAAAGCGTTTGCTCGTCACGCCGAAGACCCGGGTTCGTTTCCCCACATGGGTACAACATGTGAAGCCCATTTCTGGTGTCCCCCACAGTGATATTGCTGGAATATTGCTAAAAGCGGTGTAAAACCAAAACTCACTCACTCACTCCTTTTTCGACACTTACATGGAAACTTGAATCCCTAGTTCCCTGAAGAGAATGTAAAATCACTCACCCACAAGTTGCCTCCCTTTTCCCGCCAGAAGCGTCCCTTGTTACTAGAGCCTTGAGCCTTGCTCTCATCACTCTCCCCTTCATCGCCCAAGCGATTATTTATTATATCAAATCCATGTGACAAAATAATATGTTCTGGTGTAATTGTAATTGTACCTTAGGTCATATGACCTGCAGTATTGAATAAACGAGTCTGAGTCTGAATCTGACAACTCAACAGTAGCCTTTTACATAAATCTCCAAGGCTCAACGAGATCATCGCCTCTACTGCAACTGATGTTCCAACTCTTCAACCTAGCAGACAACCTCAACTTACCAGGAGCAAAGAACGTCTTAGCCGAAACCTTATCCAGACCGGTCAGGCCATCACCCACAGAATGGATGCTTCACTCAGAAGCGTTCCAACTGCTAACAGTAGATAAAGGCCGTCCTCTCATAGATCTGTTTGCAACATGCTTCAATCGTCAGATTGCGAAGTTTGTCTCACCAGTACCAGATCCACAAGCATTGGCTCTCGACGCTCTAGCCATATCTTGGGAGGGACTGAATGCATATGCATTTCCATCACCGATCCTGCTACCTCAAGTTCTACACAAGATGGCCCAGTCCTAGGACTGATTAGGGAAACCAATGCTGAGTCTATGTGATTGGCCGAATCTACTGATCCACCCTCACACAAAACAATGTCACGGCAACCCAATATGACTACACGCATGGAACGTATTACGTACTGCCTGAGACAAAGAGGGTACTCCAGAAGAGCAGCTAAGGCAGTTACATTGGCCTTAGACGATCAACTCGGTACCTCTATGATGATAAGTCGAGGAGTTTCGACCAGTTTGCTGCACGCAGGTGATTTTCGGCCGAGAAAGCTACACATCCTCAAGTAGCAGAATACTTATGTGATCTGAGAACTACTCGACACCTGAAGGGATCTATACTCTCAACATACTTGGCGGTGATCGGCTCTGTTATCACCATGGATACGGGAGTCAAGCTCACCAAAGTACTTGAACTTGTTGCTCTATTGAGGTCATATACTAGAAGACCAGCAGCAGAAGTTCAGAACTCCAGCATGGGACCTCAACATAGAGCTGCAACATCTTACCAGCGACGACTATGTGCCACTGAGAGACACAACTTTTGAGTTGTTATCTCAGAAGACATTATTCTTCCTCGCCTTAGATACAGCGGCTAGGATGTCAGAAATACACACCCTCGACTACGGACAAACCAGTATGCTGCAGTCCACCTGGGTCTCAGATGGGACTTTATGAAGAGAATCAGCAACCTTTTAAACCAGATCGACAATTCCACGTCCCGGCAATATCTACGGTCCTTGGACCACACGATACAGAAGATCTGTCCTTGTGCCCAGTCAGAGTTTTAAGATGTACTTGGAATGGACTGCTACAAGAAGGAGGAAACTACTCGTTTTGGATCAGAGCTGTCATCCTACGAGCTTACTAAGCCTAGCAGAGCCCCCAACCCACACAAAGTTAGAGTATGAGCCTCGACACGCCCTACATGGGAATTGCTCTCTATTGTCCATCATGGAGGACTGCTTCTGGAAGTTGGACACAGTGTTCGCCAATCATAATCTCTGAGATATCGCTACAGAAGATGTATCTGGTATCCACCATTTCGACACTCTTGTAGTAGCGCAACAACTCACAGCTCCAGCTAGACGATGAGAAACTCACCCTTATCACGTTGACTTTACTTCTTTTATTGACTTAAGAGAAGGTGGTCCTCCGAATGACATCAGGATCCTTTGGAAGCCGCAAAGAAGAGTTCCCAGTCACAATGAATCCCGTTAGGTGGCTGCCATGCCACTTATTCCATCGGATTCGGTAAGCAATATAGCATGAGTCAGGATAAGGAAAAATATGTCATTTTTATGATAAAATTGATATTTTATACTTATCCTGACTAATGATCTGAAGGGCCCTCCCAACCGTCCCCTCTCAGCATTACGGGCTTCACTGCAGGCCCAAGTGCGGGCTTATTCAGGAGAGAGTGATGAGAGCAAGACCCAAGTCACATGTTATGCTTTATGCGGGAAAAGGGAGGCAACTCGTGGATGAGTGATTTTACATTCTCTTCAGGGAACAAGGGATTCAAGTTTCCACGTAACCGTCGAAAGAAGAAGGGAGATAAGCAATATAGCATGAGTCAGGATAAGTATGAAATGTCAATTTTATCATAAAAATTACATTATTGCATGTGTAGATTTAAGAGTATGTCAGGGGCTCGGGTGGAAAAGTGTAATTGCTGCAATTCGCCATGCAGAGTTTAGTGCTTTGGTTGCTTTCTCTAAACATCATTTGATTCTTTGTACCATGATGACCGCTTAAACCATCTTAGACCCTCTTTCACTCACTCATCTGAGTCATCTCTCTGACTTGTTATTTATTTCAGGAGAGAAAGAAAAGAGAGAGAGTCTACGGGTGAAGTTTGGTCCAGCGGTCAGGATGGGCCTTCAAAGGGTCGGGGTAGTCTCCCCTACCAAGGAGGTGCCTGATGTAAGCTCCCAGAGCCAGCTGCTCTCACTTCAAAGCCAGGAGACTGAAAACACTAATACCCCACAAAGACATGACAATCATATAAATGACCAGTGCCCAGAGGCAAAACACAGTGACACTGAGAACAATAACATAGACCCAGGGGAGAACCACACCATCGGTGTAGATCGTCAGGTCACAGAGCCCAAAGAACTTCCAAGAGCATCCAGAGTGAGGCGGCAGGTTCAGAAGTTCGTTGCAAGCAATCCTGATCCTCATCCTAGAGTCAAAAAGGGACAGAAAAGACGTAGCATGTCCACAGGCTCTGTGCCACCAAGTCGACGGAAAATCAGAAACAGTAGCATTGATGCAAATTCACCAACTATTCCATATCCTTCACAAAGACTTTTTGCTTTTGGAACTGCCAAGTCAAGTCTTGTGACTCGTCTTGATGTGCAAACCTCTCTGGGTGTGGCAGTGAAAAGATCTCTTGAAAGTGAGTATTCATCTACAGCTTCAGTGAACAGCACTCCTGACGACTCGGTCTCGGCCTGGTCAGTGGGGACTCAGTGTAGCCTGTCAGAGAGGCTGCCCAACCACACCCACACGATGACTACAGATGGACAGGAGGAGATAAAGGATAAGGACAATGGCATTCAAGATGAAAACCAGGCTTTTATGTTCCCTCGCCACAGTTCAAGGTAAGTTTGATACAGAGAAGAGACCTAGAATTGACACTCCATATTTGATATCTACTGCTCAAAAGTAGAACACCTGATTATGTTGCTATTGTTAATGGTATGACAGACGAACTATAGCAATACTGAAGAATCAAGTGTTTGTTGTTTTGGGAAGTATTTGGTTCTAACTTGAATTAGTTTATCATTGAGATCTTTCTTTTTATGAATATTTAAGCAATTACAATTATGAGTGATCAATAAATGTTCAATCAGAGGGATATCTTCAGGGGTGAAAATAACTTTAAAAGTGCTAGTGTACACCGGTACCATGGGTACAGTGGCACATGTATAATCACTTGCCCTGATAATTTTTCCTCTATACCGGACGATTTTCTTGTTGATTTTTTTTAGATAAACAACATAATTAACATTGGAAAGTCAACTTGACATTGGAACAGCGTGATATACGAATTTGCTTGCCCGACTGGAAAAAAACTGGACTCAGACGTCAGGCAATGGGTTATTCCCACCCCTGATCTTTAGTCAAAACCTAGCTCTTTTGTGCTAATGTTTTTGCAAGCTAACCAGATTTTGTGCTGGCCGAGCCCTGTTGAAAATGGTAGTTAATGGTTGTTGTTACAGCGCGTCCATGTATTACTCCAATCTTGACTCGGAATCCTCAGAATCAGATGATGAGCTTCCCGAGGGACTGTCTCCATCAGTTGTTGGTAGGTGTCTAATTGTGATTATTTGAGGTGGAGCATTCTTGGAGTAGAAGTCCTGATCATAGGCAATTCACTAATAGATTTATTGCATTAATAGTGTTGGCATTCAGTTATGTAATGCTTCACTCAAGTGACAACATTGAATTAAACAATTACATTAAGTATTTTAATGATCAATTAAGAAAGGTAGGAACTATATAGATGACAATTTCTTTATTATAGTTTTATATATGTATAGTTATATTAGTGTCTTGCCTGTTTTTTAATGATAGACAAATCCTTAACCTGTGTTATAAAAATGTAGGGCCCAGCTATGAAATAAGACTTAACTATCTTCCTCTGTAACAGACACGTCGTCCCTACCGAAGGTGAAGGATGTGGTGTGGGTCAAGTACAGGCAGTGCCCCTTCTGGCCAGCAGTGGTGAGTACTTAGTCCTGGACTGTGCTCAACTGGGTCAGGTCGTGCTTCTCACGGATCTCGGTGTTCTGTCAACAGTGCTGTCTTGTACACATGCATTATTTGCATTTCATGAAATTGAGCCCTAAATAATACATTTGTAGTGCTGATTTTTGTTCTGGAAGGGCATTTGAATATGGCATAACTATTGTGATGCAGTACAGGGACAACTATTATATATCACTGTACTGTGTACCCTATGTTATCTGACATGTTGACAGAGCCAATGACTCCCCAAAGTGACAGATTGTACAGATTGCTGGAGTGTTGTCTGTGAGTTAGGGAGGCAACTCTGATTATAAGCTGGCCTTGAAGAAAATTTGTAAATCAAAGCTGAAAGTACATGTATTCTGATTCTGTTCTGTTCACATTAATTATTAACACTGAAGTCAGAATCCTCGATTCAGGGATTTACCTTGAGTCCTGTTTTTGAGGGTCCCTGGGACAACAAAATGGGGGTCCAGACACTTAAATATTATTATCAATATTGTTATTGTCTTGTGTATCATGATCATCACATTATTTGTTACAGTAATTGAATTGCAAATGATACCATAACCAAGCTAGTAGCAAACTCTTTGATAACTTAGTGTTACTTGATTGGAATTTTTACAAAAAGTATTTGGACTTTTTCTGCGTCCCTGTGGATGCACTAATAAACTTTGTTGCGTCCATTGTCAATTTTTATGCGTATAGGACGCAGGAATATGCGTCCAGTGAATCCCTGTCGATTGATGTCTGTTCGAGTTTATGGACTGATGTGAAGGTAATTCATACAGTTTACAAAATGAAACTGTTTGTGAACTTGAACTTGCTATTATATAGATCCTGTGCCCCCATCTAAGTTAAAACATTCTTTAGAGGGTTCATAACTTATCTTTAATTTTTCTTTTATGTTACTTACCGTGAAGAATTTTCTGTTTCTGTCCTTTATTGTTGTCAAATACCACGGGGAAAAATACCAGACTTGTAATTGACCGGAACTGTGCATGTGTGACACAGATGTATTGGCTATAACTGTTACATGGTGATAACTGTTAGGCAGCCAGTAAACATCATGTAAACCTGAGTGCTGGATTTCCTGAATACTATCATGACTGTAAGAATACTTCTGCCTCATTTGTCCAGGACCCATAACCTAACCAATGAACTGTTATCTTTCAAAACAAGCTCTCCTATTATGCACACTGGCATTCAAAATGGCCACTCCCAGGTTAAGCCTTGAGACTGAGAGTGACACCAAAAAACAGTTTGATGGGATGCATAAATAAGTTATGAATCATATGAGTTGGTCAAATTTGTCACGATTTTTAAATTTGTCGTGGCACCAGGTAAAATTGAAAATATTTCATCCATGCCATTTCAATATTTACCGTGCCATGGCCAACAAATTAAGTGCTACTTTGATCCATAAGATTTTAATGTTAACCCAGCACGTTAGGTAATTTGGGTTGTATACTCCCAAGGAAGTTGAAAAAAACTTTTCAGAGAACTCTGATATTTTGAGTGGGATAATAGTGGTGCAACGCTTTGAATACACCTGTATGAGGAGTTGAGTGGATTATAAATATACTTAGTAAGTTAGTATTATTCATTATGATTGATCTCTATTGTGTAAGAAGAATATGATTACGATTAATGGAATAAAGAAATGACTGTGTTCTTGATTTCTTTTTGTGTGGAAAGGTGAGAAGGATCCAGGATAGTAGAGGGAAAAAAAGTCCAAAGAAGATCCAAGTCCAGTTTCTAGGAAACACAGGGCACTTCAGAGAAAAGTAGGTCCCTTAGACCCGTCTGTAACAAGGCATCCTTTTTTGTTTTGAGTGTCATGTTTGTATTGATATTCAACACAATGTATAGTTTTGCATGAAATGCATGTGGACCCGTTTTTTTGTAAATATCTCTTCATCCAATGACCCAAGCGATCTCAAACTGTGCAAGTGGATGTTTTGTCAGACAACCTAATCACATTGTAAAGCACCGATTTTATGCATTTGTATTAAAGAATCTGTCTATGTAACTGTCAACAAAATAAACAGCAGAACGCAAACTGCTTGTAGAGGGAGGGAGCCAATGACCTGAATTCCTTGATCAAACTGCAACAACAATAGTGTGACTTGCAGCCTTGAGTTCAGGCCAGATTCATTGACTCTGTTTGATGGGAAATGTGGTTTTCCAACCATTCATTTAATGCTCTAAGTGGCAGTCCCTGATTCTAAAGCAGGGTGAAGTGGTATATTGTACACAACTTATTTATGGTTTAAAACATTACATTACTGTGATAAGATGTGTGAGAAGTGAGACCATCAACGACATTTTAAATTGGTCCCACAGTTTCAATCCATATTTGTTTCTGTACAGTTTCTACGTGACATACAAGCGTGACCGTGTGTTCCCACTGGACCATGTGAAAAGGAAGGAGTTTGAGGTTTGTGTTGTATGTTCATAGGTTCTCCTGTTGTATGTTCATAGGTTCTCCTGTTGTATGTTCATAGGTTCTCCTGTTGTATGTTCATAGGTTCTCCTGTTGTATGTTCATAGGTTCTCCAGTTGTATGCTCATAGGTTCTCCTGTTGTATGTTCATAGGTTCTCCTGTTGTATGTTCATAGGTTCTCCTGTTGTATGTTCATAGGTTCTCCTGTTGTATGTTCATAGGTTCTCCTGTTGTATGTTCATAGGTTCTCCTGTTGTATGTTCATAGGTTCTCCTGTTGTATGTTCATAGGATCTCCTGTTCGTATGTTCTCCTGTTGTATGTTCATAGGTTCTCCTGTTGTATGTTCATAGGATCTCCTGTTGTATGTTCATAGGTTCTCCTGTTGTATGTTCATAGGATCTCCTGTTGTATGTTCATAGGTTCTCCTGTTGTATGTTCATAGGATCTCCTGTTGTATGTTCATAGGTTCTCCTGTTGTATGTTCATAGGATCTCCTGTTGTATGTTCATAGGTTCTCCTGTTGTATGTTCATAGGTTCTCCTGTTGTATGTTCATAGGTTCTCCTGTTGTATGTTCATAGGATCTCCTGTTGTATGTTCATAGGTTCTCCTGTTGTATGTTCATAGGTTCTCCTGTTGTATGTTCATAGGATCTCCTGTTGTATGTTCATAGGATCTCCTGTTGTATGTTCATAGGTTCTCCTGTTGTATGTTCATAGGTTCTCCTGTTGTATGTTCATAGGTTCTCCTGTTGTATGTTCATAGGATCTCCTGGTATGTTCTCCTGTTGTATGTTCATAGGTCCTCCTGTTGTATGTCTCATATGGTTCTCCTGTTGTATGTTCATAGGATCTCCTGTTGTATGTTCATAGGTTCTCCTGTTGTATGTTCATAGGTTCTCCTGTTGTATGTTCATAGGATCCTGTTGTATGTTCATAGGTTCTCCTGTTGTATGCTCATAGGATCTCCTGTTGTATGTTCATAGGTTCTCCTGTTGTATGTTCATAGGATCTCCTGTTGTATGTTCATATGTTCTCCTGTTGTATGTTCATAGGTTCTCCTGTTGTATGTTCATAGGATCTCCTGTTGTTGTATGTTCTCCATAGGTTCTCCTGTTGTATGTTCAGGTTCTCCTGTTGTATGTTCATAGGATCTCCTGTTGTATGTTCATAGGTTCTCCTGTTGTATGTTCATAGGTGTATGTTCATAGGTTCTCCTGTTGTATGCCTCCTCCTGTTGTATGTTCATAGGTTCTCCTGTTGTATGTTCATAGGATCTCCTGTTGTATGTTCATAGGTTCTCCTGTTGTATGTTCATAGGATCTCCTGTTGTATGTTCATAGGTTCTCCTGTTGTATGCTCATAGGTTCTCCTGTTGTATGTTTTATATGTTCATAGGTTCTCCTGTTGTATGTTCATAGGATCTCCTGTTGTATGTTCATAGGATCTCCTGTTGTATGTTCATAGGTTCTCCTGTTGTATGTTCATAGGGTTCTCCTGTTGTATGTTCATAGGTTCTCCTGTTGTATGTTCATAGGTTCTCCTGTTGTATGTTCATAGGTTCTCCTGTTGTATGTTCATAGGTTCATCTCCTGTTGTATGTTCATAGGTTCTCCTGTTGTATGTTCATAGGTTCTCCTGTTGTATGTTCATAGGTTCTCCTGTTGTATGTTCATAGGTTCTCCTGTTGTATGTTCATAGGATCTCCTGTTGTATGTTCATAGGTTCTCCTGTTGTATGTTCATCCTGTTGTTCTCCTGTTGTATGTTCATAGGTTCTCCTGTTGTATGCTCATAGGTTCTCCTGTTGTATGTTCATAGGTTCCTCCTCTCCTGTTTGTATGTTCATAGGTTCTCCTGTTGTATGTTCATAGGTTCTCCTGTTGTATGTTCATAGGTTCTCCTGTTGTATGTCATAGGTCTCCATGTTCATAGGTTCTCCTGTTGTATGTTCATAGGATCTCCTGTTGTATGTTCATAGGTTCTCCTGTTGTATGCTCATAGGTTCTCCTGTTGTATGTTCATAGGTTCTCCTGTTGTATGTTCATAGGTTCTCCTGTTGTATGTTCATAGGTTCTCCTGTTGTATGTTCATAGGTTCTCCTGTTGTATGCTCATAGGTTCTCCTGTTGTATGTTCATAGGATCTCCTGTTGTATGTTCATAGGTTTCCTGTTGTATGTTCATAGGTTCTCCTGTTGTATGTTCATAGGTCCTCCTGTTGTATGTTCATAGGTTCTCCTGTTGTATGCTCATAGGTTCTCCTGTTGTATGTTCATAGGATCTCCTGTTGTATGTTCATAGGTTCTCCTGTTGTATGTTCATAGGTTCTCCTGTTGTATGTTCATAGGTTCTCCTGTTGTATGTTCATAGGTTCTCCTGTTGTATGTTCATTCTCCTGTTGTATGTATGTTCTCATAGGTTCTCCTGTTGTATGCTCATAGGATCTCCTGTTGTATGTTCATAGGTTCTCCTGTTGTATGTTCATAGGTTCTCCTGTTGTATGTTCATAGGATCTCCTGTTGTATGTTCATAGGTTCTCCTGTTGTATGCTCATAGGATCTCCTGTTGTATGTTCATAGGTTCTCCTGTTGTATGTTCATAGGTTCTCCTGTTGTATGTTCATAGGATCTCCTGTTGTATGTTCATAGGTTCTCCTGTTGTATGTTCATAAGTTCTCCTGTTGTATGATCTCCTCATAGGATCTCCTGTTGTATGTTCATAGGTTCTCCTGTTGTATGTTCATAGGTTCTCCTGTTGTATGTTCATAGGATCTCCTGTTGTATGTTCATAGGTTCTCCTGTTGTATGTTCATAGGATCTCCTGTTGTATGTTCATAGGATCTCCTGTTGTATGTTCATAGGATCTCCTGTTGTATGTTCATAGGATCTCCTGTTGTATGCTCATAGGATCTCCTGTTGTATGTTCATAGGTATGTTCATAGGATCTCCTGTTGTATGTTCATAGGATCTCCTGTTTATGTATGTTCATAGGATCTCCTGTTGTAGGGTCATAGGATCTCCTGTTGTATGTTCATAGGTTCTCCTGTTGTATGTTCATAGGTTCTCCTGTTGTATGTTCATAGGTGCTCCTGTTGTATGTTCATAGGTTCTCCTGTTGCAGGTTCATGGGTGGTCCTGTTGTAGATTCATAGGTTCTCCAGTCAGTGACTTTAAAATGAATGGCTGGCATGTTCGATGTGTTAGTAAGGAATGTTTGTTCCAGCAGAAGATCCGATAGATGACTTGCCTCCTCGATTCCAGTACAGATTCTGGTTCTCCCATTATGTGGTCTTGATCATTGTTTGTCATGATATGTTAATGGTGTTGTTTCTCCTGTCAGCACACTCATTTGTCTTGTCTATAACTTTGTATAGACATCATATTGAAAAAATGATGTTTTGTTACTCTTAGAGATAAACAATATTCATTGTTAGATCGTAACAATTCATTACTCTGCCCTTATGTTTGTCTGAATGGTAAGACTGGGTAATTCTAGGATTCGTTAATCTGCTCCTATGTCAGACTGTAAGGAGAGTTTTGATGTTTCTAGGATATGGGACTGATGAGTGAGAACTTAGACCTGCAGAAGAGATTCAAGTCAAGTCTTCAGGAAGTGGAAACATACCTCAATAGGAAGGCCCTCGGTCTTTTGCCTCCTAGCAAAGAAAGCAGCTTCTTTGATGAAGGTATGTGTTACGGAGATGTGGTTTATAAAGGACTCGACAGTTTCCGAAGGGAATTAGCATATAACTAGCCACTACATTTTAGAATGTTCTTATCAGTTGATATGTCCTATGTTACAGACTATGATAGTGACACCAATGACAGCATGGCCGAGGAAGATCATGGTCAGTCACAGTCCAACGTACCGGTCAACAGTCCCGAGGAAGGCAGCAAACTGGCCACTCCACCAGTCCAAGTTGTCAAGAAGAGCATGGGGAAACAAGCTCATGGCTTACAAGTGCTTAATGTCATGTAAGATAACCAGTACCTCCATGATGTTATCTCAATGTCATGGCTGTTCCACCATAAACAAGGCCAATTCGCTTGTGTTGCAATGAGTTAATTGTGGTATAGGACACAAAATATGAAACTCACATCAGTGGGGATGTTGTTATGTTGTTTCGTTGTGGAATAAAAGATCGTGTATCACTGAAGATTGTGAAAGATTTTATAATAATTTTCTTTTCTTTTAGGAAGGAAAGAAGAAAGAAAAAGAACAAAGTCCTTTTAGACTTCATAATATCGGAAGAAATGAAGGTATATTCCTCTTTAATGTTGATATGTAGTTTGTGCTTGTTTTGTTGGCATTGCGTGAGTTACAAATCTTAATTACTTATCTCCACACATGGACAGAATGCACAAATGTATAGAATGCAAGCAGAAAACAATATATAGTATGTCCAGAAGGGTGCAAAATAATATTCAGTGTACCAAGTTCTTGACAGGAAATATATGATTCCTGTAATTAAAAAAAAGGTTTCACTTGTTCAATCACTGAGAATGTATTAAACACTCTCCCCTAGGTGCAGGCACTTGTACATGGACTTTATCACTGTATGTTTGATGTGATCACTGTATGTTTGTGTGATCACTGTATGTTTGACATAATCACTGTATGCTTGTGTGATCACTGTATGTTTGACATAATCACTGTATGCTTGTGTGATCACTGTACGTTTGTGTGATCACTGTATTTGATATGATCACTGTATGTTTGATGTGGTCACTGTATGTTTGTGTGATCACTGTATGTTTGACATAATCACTGTATGTTTGTGTGATCACTGTATGTTTGACTTGATCACTGTATGTTTGACTTGATCACTGTATGTTTGACTTGATCACTGTATGTTTGACTTGATCACTGTATGTTTGTGTCATATTTTGCTTCAGGAGTACTTATTAGCTATCTACAAAGGGACAAAGAAGAGTGAACGTCATACGCAGTACCATTCTTCAGTTCGGGAGCGAGACAAGCTACGTCATTCTGGGTTTGGTCCAATTGCAGATGAAGAGCAGGTAGCCAACATTTTCATCAATGATGTAATGACTGTCAGTTACACTTTGCAGACATCTGATACTTGCCACGTGCTTCTGTATCTATTAGAATAATTGTTAAAGGTAAAAGGACAACTTGGTGGGGCTTATTTTCAAATAGCCCTTAAGTTTTGAACCCATTTTAGCATGAAACGATATGCTTTGGGAATCCTACTGGTTAACTCAGTAATGTCTGAGACGACAGGTAGAATTCCCACATGGGAACACCATTAGTTAGTTACAGAAGAGTTGCTTCCCTTGCACTGACGAAAATATAAGAAGGAAACTCTAAATTAATTTGTAAAATTCACTGACATTTACTTCTCAAATCTAATTAATCATCATGGCAACGCTGACTTGCACACCTAACAGGCTTTCACACAGCATTAATTTCAAGTGCCAATCACAAAAAATGAAAAGTTACGTACTATAAAGACAAGCAAACTGAAAAAATAATTGGAAATATTAATATAAATTGTATATTTATATACTTATCCTATCTCACGATTTGCACTTCTCTCTCTTGCTTCAACGCTGAGTGGAACGAATGAGAACTTTTCCTGTAGGCCTCTCTTGTCCATACGCCCATGTTCCCCAGGCTGCTCTCTTTATAGGACAGGTCCCTAGTCCCTGGCTAAGCGTGCAGCACGTTCCCCTGTGCGTTTAAACATAACTCGAAAATTTCTGTTTACGGTCTAAAGCAAGACAGTATGTGTTACCAGCATCATTCTTTGCACGTTACCGACATCCAGACTTTGAGTTACCGACATCCTCGCGCGATTTTAAAAATGCTTATTGTTCAACACATAGGCATTAATAAGCAAATTCAGTGCACTGAATGTATTTCCACCATCAAAGTTCATCAGTGTGCTAAATAATGTTGATTGTATACACGTGGAAGGCTGCTAATTCGAGGGGAATAATCGCCAAGCGATCTTACCTGCCGCCATGCTGGGATGCTGATAACGTGCGTTACCAGCATCACCTTAGGTACAGTGATGGGTAGTTAACCCAAAGTAGCGTAATTTTGCGCACACTGTAACAATATTTTCTTCCTCGGATCCCCACTCGTCATGTGTGGGTTGTATTGACCTGTGTTCCTGAAGCAAGCGTTGTTGGGATTGTGCTCCCTTATCAAGGACGTTTTTAGAGCATATAGACATGCTTGCTCCCGTTGACTGGCAGACAGAGCTCGTTACACTTCAACAGTTGATCACCCGACAAAACCCCCGTTTACAACGACCAGTATTAACTGCTTGTCATTTGAAGATTCCCATGTCGGAAGGTGATGATTTTATTTGCGCATCATCAGATGTCTACTCGTCGTTCCGCCTCATCGAACCGCTCTGTTTTGCCAGCCAACACACAAACAGCCGATCTACATCGTCAAATCGCCGAACCAATTCACCACACTGAATCGGTTCGCCACACCGAATGGATTCACCAGGCCCGAACCGTTTCGCGAAGGTGTATTGGATCACGACATCGACTCAATTCGCCATATATAAGACTGTTTCTTATCGCCGAAACGGTTCACATCATCGGTTCGATTCATCGCACCGAAACGGTTCGCCTCGCCATAACAGCTTTCTTCACCGAAACGATTCACCTCGGCCGGAACATTTCACCTCACCGGTTCATCTGATCGTTCTAGATCTCTCCATCAGCTGAGATCATTTAAATGTTTCGGATTACCAAACTGATCCAGATCACAGTCACAATCCAGATCACAACGCCGATCCAGATCACATCAACGTTCCGGCTCACCATTCTGAATCAGATCACTAAGCTGAACCGATTTACTAGCCCGACTCGTCCCGTTTCACCAGGCCGAACCGCTTCATATCGCCGAACCAGTTCACCTGGCCATTCAAGATCACTGAATCGTCAGCATTCATCGAACTGTCAGCATTCGTCAATAATCCGTTCCTCGGACCTTGCCTACCAATTGAGTTGATTCACCGAATTCTGCGATTCACCACTCGTGTTATTTCCAACACGGCGCATCTTACCAGCCTATTGGTTCGTCAGAGCCTATGCAAATTATGTCTGGGATGCCTCCCAAGACACTTAACCCACATCGAACTTCGTCTTTGTTTTCATGGTTTGGGCTATGCCAGTCGCCTTTAAAATGCAGGAATTGTTTTGGTTGATTTGACACACATAATCGCTTGGTTGGCCGACCACCTACAGCTACCTAGAGGAAAATACCAGATGTTTTATTTATTACATTCAACATGAAGGATCGGGACTTGTCAACACTGGTTTTTAACATCCTCAACGAGGATCGTGAACTTGCATCTAGATACGGCCAAATTTGTCGAACTCTGCTAGTTTTCAACACGATCCTAGTTTTCAGGGCATCTGTGAGGCGCTGACTTCCTTCCACACCATGGAGTGGCAAGCACTAAGCACGACAAACTGATTGTTTATCCGGTTTACCTTACGGCGGCGTTTAAAGTTTTTAGTCACATAACTTATCCCACCTGGTACCCTTTTTCTGCTGGTTGAACAGAGGTAGTAGCTATGTGCTTCACCATGCCGAATCGATTCACATTTGATGTCAGTAGCGCAGTCATCTAAACATATTACATTTCGGCACTTGGCGGTCTGACGGTCCCAGTTCTCAAGATTCACTTGACTCATCTCATTCCAGATTTAATCTACCATCCGATCTTCACCTTTGATGAATGATTCGGTTCAAAGAATCTATCTTCGGCATAGATATCAGCACTACGACCACCCGATAGGGCATTTCTAGATAAGCTTGCTAGCCAGGAATACTTTACGACGCTTCACTGAGTCTTGTTACTACTGACTACTCGTAACAGCATTTCTGTGTATCGCTGGGTGCAATCATTGCAGATGGTTCGTCATCTTCAGCACCCTGCGTTTTACATCATCAGCAAGTTTCTGGACAGATGACAGATGGGTCAAGTTTTTGTGCATGGTACCAGCAGCGATGTCTTGTCAAGTATAGTCAGCATAGCGCAGCCCGGAATTTATAGGTTGTGACTCGCCAGGTTAACCGAAGACTGTGTTGTCCGGATTTTTGTCGCATCGTGGGTAACGTTTGTTTACCGGAATTTTGATGATTAGAGTGAGTATGAAGTGCCCTGGCAGACTTGTCTTGGTCCGTCGAGGCGGATATCAAGTCCAGTCTTCAAAGGCTAGTAACAATTCCCGGTAAGAATGATTGTGTCGGGATTTCGTCAGCCAGTCGAGAGAGACTGCTTAGCGAGGGTGACAGACAGAAACACCCATGAATGGTTTGACTTTGGCTGGGGTTACGCGGTTTTCTACACTAGTTCAAGCACTGAGTTCAGGGGTCACTGCAGTTATGTCCGGCAATCTACTACCTTTACCACTCCACCTGGCGAACCATCATTTTGTTCGGCCAACCAAAACGTTCCTGAGGTCGCCGATCGTGTGAATTTCTTCACTTCGTTTACAATGTGAACGTTCCTGTAGATTGACTGACAATCTCCATGTGCAAACCTACTACTTTCAGCACTCCATTAGTACTGGCATGGTAGCTGGACTAATTGAACGTTCCTATCTCAGGAGATATCTCTTTGTCAGAGGCAAGAGTTGTTAGACCTCTCATTTCCCTCGACCTGTGAGACGCCTACCTTCACATCCCGATACATCCAGACTATCGGAAGTATCTTCGATTTACTTTCAAGGGGCGTCATTGATACCAATGGAGGGTCCTGCTGTTTGGCATATGTACGGCCTCGTGGCTTTTTACTCAGGTACCCAATCCGATAACAAGCTACCTGCATTGTCGAGGCGTGACATTCGAGAACTATATCGACGACTGTGTTCAAGCCCAGCAGGATCCAGTCGTCCTTCATCTCCACAGGCAGTTCATCATCAAGTTGCTCTCGCAATTAGGATGGCTGCTGAATTAGGAGAAATCGGAGGTAACAACGACCGGTGATTACTTTTTATTGGGACAATTTTCAACACGACAGGTCATGATGTTTGTGCCCCAGGAGAGGTGGGACAAGATTCAGTGCAACGTACCACTAGTGCTGGTCCAACCCACAACTTTTCGCCAGTGGCAGAAGTTACTAGGGTGGTTAACGTCGGCACAAGCGCTGACTTACAGGGGCCAGCTGCAGCTTCGCCCTCTTCAGATGTTTCTGTGCCCATACATCCGGGACGACAACCCCAGGGAGTTGATTCATCTTCCCGCACAACTACATTCAGTCTTTCGGTGGTGGCTTGACAAGTGGAATGTTTGCGTTGGAGTCTCTATGGTGCCCTTCATACCGACTCAACACCTGTTCATTGACGCATCTCTCAAGCTGGGTCGCTCACTTTCTTCATCAAGTGGCCTAGCAGTGGTCATCAGGAGAAAGGGCCCTTCATATCAACGAATTGGAATTCAGCACTGTCATTTTCGCCGTTCTGCATTGGGCAGTTGAACAACGGTCCTCTCATATACTGATTCAATCAGGCATTTTGATGGTAGTTTGATACATAAACCATCAGGGGTCGACAGGATCAGCAGTCTGCTTCAGTTGATGTTTTGAATTTATCATCTGATCGATTCACTCAACACAGTGGCCAGAGCCCGACACATTCCCGGGATGAGCAATGTCATTGCCGATGCCCTGTCACGTCCCAAACACCCGTCACTCACGGAGTGGAAACAACTGCCTCTGATATTCCAATCGAAGATCTACCTGTTATCACGACCAGATGTAGACCTGTTCGCCACTCGGTACAACCATCAGCTTCAGCGCAGATGATCACCAGTTGCGATCGTTGCTGCTTTGTGTACAATCTGAATAAAATTCTGAATTTTATTTCTGATTTGTGTCCTTCGATTCTTCCGGGACTTCGATTTCTCCTCTCAATTTAATTTTAGACTCTGGAGAGTCGCCACCTCACTTACTGTCGTCTGCTCTGTGGAGTAATTACATCAGTGAAGTGAGTCATTCTCGAAGTGTTACACTTCGTTAGCGTTCATGCTCCTAAGTACCTATACACATCTATGTGATCTTACTGTGGTAAGTAGTGGAAGTCATAAGATGATGTTGTGGTACTGAACGTTAAAATTGTGAGTTTTCCGATTCAATTACCCTTTCACCCTCCTCGGGACGGTGTCTGTGGGGGTTGTTTCGAAGCAGGGGCTGGCCCGATACTAGTCATTAGACTTTTATTACGGGGGTACCTTGGAAATCGTGGTAATGCGACTGATTACACTCGCTAAGCTGCGTCCTTTCACTTTCGTGAAGGTAGTGACTGAACACCACATTGCTCAGGAGTCCCGGTCCCTGGGAGCAATTGTGCTTAGTAAGTCAATGGGTTCGAACTAACCATCGCACGTAGTGACCTTGGTAGTTATGGGCCTACCTTGTCGTTGCTCCCTACGGATGTAGAAGTGTTCGACAATCTTGCTTGCTGACCTCTACTCCACGGAGCAATCACGTCAGTGTAGTGAGTCCTTCCCGATTTCCTTATGGATTTCGTAGCGTTCAAGCTCCTAAGTACCTTAGCACACCGTTGTGACCTAACTGTGGTAAGTAGTGGAAGTCATGTGGTGTTGTTTTGGTACTGAACGTTAAACTTGTGAGTTTTCCGATTCAGTTTCCTTTTCCCCTCTTCGTGATGGGGTCTGGGGGGCTGTCTCGAAGCAGGTGCGGGCCCGATTACTAGTCGTAATTACGTGGGTACTCTGATAAATCGTGGCGAAGCAAGGTGACTTGCCTAGTTGCGTTTTCTTGCGTATGCGAGGGTTGCTGCTGAACACCACATTGCTCAGGAGCACCCACTCCATGGGAGCGATGGTGCCTAGTAAGCCAAGGGGTTCAGGAGAACCCATCACTAGTATAGGTACTATGCTAGTCGGATCCTGCAGCCGAAAACCACATCGCCCAGGAGCACCCACTCCTTGGGGCGATGATGCCTAGTACGCCAAGAGGTTCAGGAGAACCCATCACTAGTATAGGTATTATGCTAGTCGGATCCTGTGGCCGAACACCACATCGCTCAGGAGCACTCACTCCTTGGGAGCGATGATGCCTAGTAAGCCAAGGGGTTCAGGAGAACCCATCACTACATCACTAGTATAGGTACTATGCTAGCACCCACTCTTGGGGATCCCTAGTGCCAAGGCCGAAACACACATTGCTCAGGAGCACCCACTCCTTTGGAGCACCCACTCCTTTGGAGCTATGATGCTTAGTAAGCCAAGAGGTTCAGAAGAACCCATCACTAGTAGAGGTACTATGCTAGTCAGATCCGGCCTCCCTTGTTCATTGCTATCTACGGTTGTCATTAGCCTATACAGTATATACTATCAGGGCCTTTTGACTTAGGGTAATCTGCGACCCGCCGTCCAACCGTGGGATAAGTGCAAATCTTGAGATAGGATAAGTTTTAAAATTTGGAAATTTTAATATAAATTGTATATTTATATACTTATCCTATCTCACGCAATGGATGCCCACCCAGCCCCCCCCTCTACTCAGATTACGACGGTTACGTATAACTGTCATTGGCTCCAAGAAGAGATTGATCACTCTGAGGTAGTCACGTGGGTAGACAGGGGAACGTGCTGCACACTTAGCCAGGGACTAGGGACCTGTCCTATAAAGAGAGCAGCCTGGGAAACACGGGCATATGGACAAGAGAGGCCTACAGGAAAAGTTCTCATCCGTTCCACTCAGCGTTGAAGCAAGAGAGAGAAGTGCAAATCGTGAGATAGGATAAGTATATAAATATACAATTTATATTAATATTTCCAATTATTTTTTCAGTTTGCTTGTCTTTATAGTACGTAACTTTTCATTTTTTGTGATTGGCACTTGAAATTAATGCTGTGTGAAAGCCTGTTAGGTGTGCAAGTCAGCGTTGCCATGATGATTAATTAGATTTGAGAAGTAAATGTCAGTGAATTTTACAAATTAATTTAGAGATTTGGGGCAGGTAAAAAAAAGGATTCACAATATCTTTTATCTGAAAAAAGAGAATCGAATGTAATGTGTTTCAGCAAGATGAAATTACATACAAATTTGTGGAATGGTACAAAGACTATGCCTGTCCATCAGCTGACATCGACTACATCTTGGATGTGTGGATACCCGAAGTAAGTACTTCTCAGTAGCATTTCAAATATTATTCAGACAAAAAGACGGGAATCTCAATTCCAGATAATAAGTATCCCTTTACCCAAACAAAAGGCACTGTAAAACTTGACTCACTCACACTTCATGTAAACAGAACCGATCAGCCAAGAGAGATCATGACTGAAATGTTGAAGAGACATCCATCAAAAAGTCAAATATTTTTCATCGAAACTAAGATGATCAACATGGCTTTGGAATGATAATGTTATGTAAATATGGCCTTGTGGATATGACATGTCATATATGGGGGATGTGGAGTGAATATCAGTTCAGATATGTGCTCTGTTTATCATTCTGCCATGACCAGTATAATAAATCGATGTAGTTATGGGAGATGTGGACTGAATATCAGTTCAGATGTGTGCTCTGTTTATCATTCTGCCATGACCAGTATGATAAATCGATGTAGTTATGGGAGATGTGGACTGAATATCAGTTCAGATGTGTGCTCTGTTTATCATTCTGCCATGTACAATATGATAAATCGATGTAGTTATGGGAGATCTGGACTGAATATCAGTTCAGATGTGTGCTCTGTTTATCATTCTGCTGTGTACTGTATGATAAATCGATGTAGTTATGGGAGATCCAGAGTGTATCACGGCTAGGATGTATGCTCTGTTTTCCAGGCTATTGTATACAGTATGATAAAGCAGCGTAGTTATGGGAGATCCGGAGTGTATAACAGTCATGATGTATGCTCTTGTTTTCCAGGCTGTTGTATACAGTATGATAAAACGACGTAGTTATGGGAGATCCGGAGCGTATAGCAGTCATGATGTATGCTCTTGTTTTCCAGGCTGTTGTATACAGTATGATAAAACGGCGTAGTTATGGGAGATCCGGAGTGTATAGCAGTCATGATGTATGCTCTTGTTTTCCAGGCTGTTGTATACAGTATGATAAAACGGCGTAGTTATGGGAGATCCGGAGTGTATAGCAGTCATGATGTATGCTCTTGTTTTCCAGGCTGTTGTATACAGTATGATAAAACGGCGTAGTTATGGGAGATCCGGAGTGTATAGCAGTCATGATGTATGCTCTTGTTTTCCAGGCTGTTGTATACAGTATGATAAAACGGCGTAGTTATGGGAGATCCGGAGTGTATAGCAGTCATGATGTATGCTCTTGTTTTCCAGGCTGTTGTATACAGTATGATAAAACGGCGTAGTTATGGGAGATCCGGAGTGTATAGCAGTCATGATGTATGCTCTTGTTTTCCAGGCTGTTGTATACAGTATGATAAAACGACGTAGTTATGGGAGATCCGGAGTGTATAGCAGTCATGATGTATGCTCTTGTTTTCCAGGCTGTTGTATACAGTATGATAAAACGACGTAGTTATGGGAGATCCAGAGCGTGGGAGGCATTCAGCAAAGGATGTCGACTCTTCAAGATGGAGCAGCGACAGATTCACCAACACCTCATTGAAACCGCCGGCAACATTTCCCCTGCAGATGCTCGCCTGTACAATGAGCGTCTGCAGGAGCGTATGCAACTCCATATGCCCACATGAACTCGTATTAGGCCTGATTAATTGGTTTTCAGATTTCATTCTTCAAAATTTAGGTTCAATCGTCAAAATATTAATGATAATATGGCTGCTTCAATTTTTATTTGTGAAAAATATAGTCGGGTCAGTAGATAAGTAGGTAAGAAATATGATACAACTAAGATTATTTTATGGTTTCTACAACAGTGCACAGCAAGGTAATTTCAAGTTTAATTGGAGATCCAGAGTGTATCACGGCTAGGATGTATGCTCTGTTTTCCTGGCCGTTTGAAGGTTATTGATCACTTCTCCTGGCCAGGCAGGAAATATTTGGTTATTTATTTCCCACAGCAGTTTGATAATCAGCAGTTATAACACAAACCCTTCCGGACTGCAATTTCCTATTTTATATCCAGGGTTAAAGGTCAGTGGATCTGTAAGCTAAAATGTCATAGTTTTGTCATAAGTCACATACCATACGCTCTCTGTCCATGTGGGGCAGTGGGGTAACCTAGTGGGTTAAGTGTTGGCTCTTCTCGCCAAAGACCCAGGTTCGATTCCCAACATGGGTACAATATGTGAAGCCCATTTCCGGTGTCCCCCATCTTGATATTGCTGAAATATTGCTAAAAGCGGCGTAAAACCATACTCATTCACTCTGTCAATGTACCTTGTTCATCTACGGTTATGTTAAAAAATAAATCATCCAGATTTACTCAGGTCAGCTCAGGTGTTACAGTCAGAGCTTTTACATGTCCTTGTCAGATCAGATGACACCTCCATAGAAGCTTGCATCGGTAAAGTCAAAATGAAGGATATTTGAGTTCTTCATACAATGAAGAGTCAGCTTTCTAAAACAGTTCAGCTTCAATATTGTACCACCTCCATTCAGTAATTTCAATCCAAGGCAAAGGAAACCACCAGTGAACTTAAATATTCTGTGTATAGAAAACCCTTTTAGTTGTAGCCACGGCTTTCTAAAACAATGACGTATACTGTATCCAGAATGAAGTAAATGCATTGATGGTATTTTTTCATATTCAGATTTCATCGATTCTATTCATTTTCAAGATTTTAAATCAGACATGCTTGACTGAATAGCCTGCTCACTTGTACCGAGAATGTTGAAGCCTTGACATTGATAGGCTCATTAAAGAATTCACCTGATGCTACTTCCGATGGAGGTGCCTAGAGGTGTTCATGCGGATTAATTATACCTGTGCAGGTCAAACGTGCCAATCTGAATTTGTGGTGATGAGAGTTGTTTGATGGTTTTGATGAAAATTGTTCAATGTGGCTGTGGGAAACAAACGTTTCATCCACGCCATCAGGCTTCTTTCAGTCTTTTATTTCTCAATCGTCAGAAAACTATTGTTGTATTGTTGGGGCTTGTGGCGATAACCTTGGCTTGTCAGGAAGAAAGGCCGAGATTCATTTCCCCCCATGTTAATTTGTGGAGCCCATTTCCTGTGACACTGTGATATTTCTTGAATATTGTTGAAAGAGGCATAAAAACATAATCAGTCACTCAGAAACCTACTGGTAATATAAACTGGCAGCAGCTAAGGTGATATTACACACATTACTCACATGTTAACTGTGGATAGTGTTGGGGGGAAATATTATTGAACACCATGAACAGAACTCTCGCACAGCATGTTGTAAATGAACTGTAATGTTGTTAGAACAGCTATCTACCGTAGTAAAGGATGTTAGTAATGTTCAGTACAGGTAACTGTAGTCATATATGCTGGGTGTGCTCTCAGCATGGATAGCATCAAGACTGTGTTAGAAATGTGATACAAATCACTGACTCCAGAGAAGTTCCACATGGTGAAAGAAACGTGGTGAGAACTATAGTACTGGTCCTGGTGTGGCAGCGTTGAGTTTTCAGAGACAGATGACAGTTCCTGCTCTCATTTAACATAATTACTTCCCACATCAGTTCAACCTATAGGGCCACTGGGGTAGCCTGGGGGTTAAAGCATCCACTTGTTACGCTGGAGACCCGGGTTTGATTCCCCATTTGGGTACAATGTGTGAAGCCCATTTCTGGTTTCCTCGCCGTGATATTGCTGGAGTATTGCTAAAAGTGGTGTGAAGCTATATTCACTCACTCACACCAAGACGCAGACCAAAAATGCAGGCAGTGCACAATATATCTATGACAATCTGCCTTGTAGTATTAGTGACTGGATTCAGAAATTCCTGTGTTATGAAATAAGCCATGATACGACTGAGCTACCGACACTCAGAATGGTGTGCGGCCCTTTTTGTATTGTTGAATGGATGAAATTCACTTTGATCATGAAGCAAAGTCTTCATGTGCTTACTGAACTGAATGTATTTTACAGTCATAATATGTTTCTATGTTATCTATTTTCCTGATAATTTAATGTCGAACAGCTTATGGAGACCCACTTGTTCAGATAAAGGGTTATGTATGTAGTGAACGATAGTGTCTCATACCTCACCTTATAATTGTACAAAATAACAAACTGCTTTGAGCAAGTGGGTGAGTGCCTTGTAGTATACTAGTAATAATTATTGGAATTTTTTAGATGAAATCTATGTAGGAATTAGTGTACAATGTGTGTGAATTGTCATGAAATGAAGAATTGGTGTGTGAATCAATGCAATTGCCAATAGGACAAGATGCTTTATGAGACAATGTTTGTTTGTATTTGTCACAGATGTGCATGACTAACCTTGCATGGTGTCTAGTGTGGATTGATTGTGTCTTGTCTGAAACACATACGACCAATCTTGGTTTAGAGAATCTACAACATCATGTCTGAAAAAATGTCTGAAAAGGTTCTTATAATCTTTCATTTCATTCCATTAAAGAATGGACCATTTTCTTCAATGGGGAAGGGCAAGTGTAATTTTATGGCTGACTTCATCCATTTTGTGGCTTGTTTTTGCAAATTATTTACCAAGAATGATGTGTTTGGGGATTACCATGATTTTTGTTAGATAATTGATTAATCATTATCAGTGCAAAACAAAGTTATTTATTTCATCTTCTAAGTGTTTGGAACAATATTTCTCCTCAGGCAACTGAATGGTCGATCCCATGGTGCAGACTTGTATTAAATTAAAACAGGCTCCCCTGCTTAACCCACACAGCAGAAGGATAAACGGGGTAACCATGTTGGACTTTTAAAAATTGAAATCAGCTCATTGTGATGTATTATTGAATCTGGTTAGTGATGAGTTAATTAAAGGCATTTTTCTTGCATATTCTAGTCTGAACCCTCCCGAAGTCGTTCTTGTCTTACACTGACAATAACATGACGTGTTTTGTCGGTCAGACCTTACACTGCAACGAAGACCTTTATTGTTTGTTGCTATGAAAATATACTACTCAAAACAATTGTAGAACACCCACTACTGGAAGGCTGTGTGTTGTAATACTCACCAGCCATGACAGACCGATTATAGTCACGTTGGAAATTAGGTGTTTCTTAACTTCTTTTGAATAGTATATGAGTCCAGGGCCTTATGGTTGTCTGGTAGGTGTGCTGTGTTCTTTGAATGTGTGATAATGAATTGCATATAAATGAAATGGCATAAACATTGAATAAAATGTGATAATAATCATCACAATTAATCTGTTACTCTAACATTGTGTGTCTTAGTGTGATTGAAGTGTTTCATAGGATTTCAACATGTTTATTTTGAGGCAGCTGCTGCTCAACTATACCCATTTATTTTGAATTTTCCAAAATTTCAAATGTCAAATCATATGCATTTCTACTTGAAATACATTCTTGCTAGCTAAGGCATGCAAGAAGATTGTGGAGATCAGTAATTGTTTACTTCCAATCTTCAGACAATCAAAAGATTGTTGATGCCATGTTCTTAGCTGAATGGGGCGATGGGGTAGTCTAGTGGTTAAAGCGTTTGCTCGTCACACCAAAGACCCGGGTTCGAATCCCCACATGGGTACATTGTGTGAAGCCTATTTCTAGTGTCCCCCGCCGTGATGTTGCTGGAATATTGCTAAAAGCGGCGTAAAACTAAACTCAGTCAGTCAGTCTTAGCTGAATGTTGGTCAATGCTTCTCAGTCATGAAATGATAGTGAGTTTGTTTAAATGATTTGTCTAATTGATGCTGTTTCTGTATTGTTTTAGGAGTTTACTACAAAAAGAGTTCTATACTAAATGAAGTCCATTGAAGTGATTATTGTAACTGTATGACTGCAGATATTTAAGGTAATTATCCTTGTTGGCTCTACCATGGACTAATGTCAATAGCCCAGTGTCCAGATATATCGTCATCAGCAGCCTACAATTACACACCATTATTAACAGCATCAAGAAATGGAAAAATAAATATAAAATCTTTTTCAAAAGTTTTGTTTCGTTCAGATCCAAAGTCACGTTTATTTGAAAACATTGGTGGTATTCATTCAGAATATGTTAGTTTCAGACAACAAGGACAGGCTACTTGACAAATTGAGAATATAGTGTTCATTTTGTTGCATTGATAAAGCAACACTTGTACCGCTTTAATGATAAAACTATTCAATTTCTGCCAATGCTACCCTGGGACACTCAGAGCACTGCATTATTAGCACGCCAGTCAATGAATCAGTGCTCACATGATTTTCAGTTCTCAGCTTCCTGGGAAGTCTGTAAGAGGGGCAGTGGGGTAGCCAAGAGGTTAAAGCTTTTGCTTGTCACGCGGAACACCTCCATTCCCCACATGGGTACAATATATGAAGCCCATTATTTCTGGTGTCCCCTGCCAAGATATTGCTGGAATATTGCTAAATGTGGTGTAAAACCATACTCACTCACTCACTGTCAGGTGTTATCAATCACAATTATATTTTTAATAAAAATGCCTCCAATGATCTCTTACATGGGGAACAATTCAATAGTAACAGCATAGTGAACAATGAAATGTTCTGTAGATGTTTGGCTTTTCAGACATGTCTGCTGAATCAGTTGTATGGTCTGATGGTTTCATGTGATTGTAAGCCAATTGATGGATTTCAACTTGAGATTCCGACAGGAATCTGATGTCTTAGGGATTCATTTGATTCGTCCGACCGGTGGGACATATATTGCATGTGGTGCTGTGTGTAGTTGTCAATTCAATTAAAGGAGAGACAGATATGTTAAGTTTGTAGTTGCTCAATTTTGTTCATTTTTACTTTATCAACAAGATTTGCCCCAAATGAAGAAAACAGACATTCACAATGAAATGAAAACATTATTATCATTACTCTTTAACTTTGCGCTCTTGTGTAAATTATATGTCAGCAGAACTTGTTAAGAATGCTAACATGAAATGGCTTGTTTTTGTAAAAATCATTGTTAGTTTTAGTTTTAGATAATGAGAATCTAGTCTTTAAAATGTTAATCAAGATACTTGTAGCCTGAATGTACTCGATTTTAGCCTATGTAATTGTGGTTTTATCCTTTTGCGCAAAGTAGATAGTGTCCAATACTTAATGCTCGAGGATATACTGTTTACTGCTCATTAATAAACATACATAGTAATCAGGTCAATACGAAACACACATTCTCAGAGGGGTGA